GTAACCTATTTTTTCCACAACCTGTTTTGTTTTTTTTTGTTTTTTTTATAAAGATCTGTATAAAATGTATAAAAAAATAAACTTTTTATGTCCAGTCAGGTTAAATCATCTCACTTTGCGTCCCACATATATGTGCCGGTTTTCGTTTTAGTTTATTTCTGTTGCAACCAAAATATCTTTTTATAAATGACAAATGCCGTGTTTTTCTTTGCTTTGTGACTTTGTAAATGCACTACACGAATACGAAAAAAATGAAACGGACAAAGCTGCTCAATCTTAAAAGGCTTTATATACATTTAAAGAGAATTTTATATAGGTTTATTTACCTACACACTATATATATGTTTTCCTGTTGGTGAAACGATCGCCAATGCCTAGATATTCCCAAGTTGCCTCTTACATTTAGCAGTATTAGAAAAAAAGAGACACTTATTTAATAAATGGATCATATGCTCATCACAGATTTTATTTTTGATATCTCTCATTAATGTTTCTTGCATATGTTTATCTTTAAGTTGACCGGTGTTTCCAGGCGCTTCAAATATGCAGTCGAATCCGAAAGTGAAACCAACCCACGATGGTTTTTGCAACTGTACAACTTGAAAACATGTTATCAACTTGAAACCATGTTATTTCATTTTCATATCGCAAAATGTCTTTCAGCACTGAAAAGGACTGAAAACGGATTTTATGTCACATAGCCTCACTTTCACTCACTGGTTGTGAAACGACACGCGCGGGACTCTTGTAATGCCATGTTTGATGAAAAAAAAAAACACATTCTCTGTGCAAATGTACACAACTAGAGGACAAGGAAAAAAGTTTTATAATTTTATAGTTGATTTGTACGTCCGGTTTGCTTGTATTTTCTGGAAATGTATTAAATGTAGAACTTTTATACAAAACTATGTACACAGTATATTGGTCCGTCTTCACTTTGGGTTGAAGTGTTTTATAAGTATAAAATAAACTAGCTTGATATTGCACTGTGCAATCGTACAGGT